GGTACTGTAAATGTTGTAAGTTTTTTAGATTCTTCTTCTAATTTTAAGTGGTAAAATCCTGATTTGCAGTCAAATTTACTAAAATAATTATATCATTGTATTTGTCTTATTTTTAATATTTTATTTGGTATTGGGTAATTATAAGTTTTAGTTTTTGCATTTAAATTTCTATAACCAATAACCATTCTACTTTTTCCTCTTTTTTGTTCACTATGTTTATTTACTATAAATGTTGGGCTTGTATGCTTGCTATTGCTTTCTTGTATGTACCCTTTTTCTAGTAATTCACTTATATGTATCTTAAATTCTATTAAATCATTAAAATTATATTTTAATGGTTTTTGGGTTATTATACTATTATTATCAATTAGCTCAATTTTTATTTTTGTTTTATGTTTTTCCCATCCTTGTAAAGGATCTTCACTATATAATAATTCTAACTTATCTTGGATTATTTTTACTTTATCTATAGAGAATATAAAGTTCGTTTATTCAAAGTCTGCCCATTTTATTACATATACATTCCTTTATATAGAAAGAAATTAGTGCACGTACTATACTACACACTTAATTCTCCTCCCCCACTACTTTTACACTTGTCTTCTTAATAATACACTCCACCTACTATCCCTCTATTATTATCTTTGCAAGTATATATATTTTCATATTTTTATCATACTAAAGTCCTTTTTATTATTACTCTTTTATTTTCGTAATTTATTATTAAATGTTTGTCTTCTAGATTATATGGTTTTACTTGTTCTAGCCATTTTATTCCTAAAGTGATATTTTCATCTCCTTGATATATTTTAAATTTTATTACTATTGGTACTTCTCCAATGATTATTTCCTTTTCTGTAGTTTCTTCGGTATACATTAATGCTTTTGGTAGTTCGGGGCATAATTGTTCAGTAGTTATTATTTCATCTTCCGTCACTAATTCTCTTGTAATATAGTTTTCTTCTAGTCCTGTATTTATTAATATTAAATATTTTCGTTGTTCCATTATTCCCGTTAGGTAGTAAGGATGTGGTTTTATTTCTTCTTCCATTGGATTTTGTGGGGTTTTATCTATTCTTCTTGAGGTACTCATTTTTTATGATATTTGGGGTATCTCATTATTTATTCTTTTTGATGTACTTAGTCTTTTACTATTTCCAAATCTTCTTCTATATCAATTTCATTATAACTATAATCATTATTATCTATGACTGTAACTATCCTTTCAAAAGGATTTTCTATTTTTATTTTATTTATTTTGTTTTTTGCTGTTATTTTATGTTTTGTTGTTAAAACATATAAGTTTTTACATCTAGCTGTAAATATTTTACTTCCCGGGGCTAGTTCTATCCCTGACATTTTCCAATATAATACTAATGATTTATCTATATTCCTGTCATTTATTGCTACTGAGTAGTTAGCACTTATTATGAATTTAAATTTTTGGTATATAAGGTTACCTTTTACTGCACTTATTATACTTTATTTTATGGGTTGTATAATTCTATCTTCTGCTAAGTATATTTCTATGGGTGTATCTATTCCTTCTCTAAAACACGATTTTATTAGTATTTCTGTTCCTCCTAAATGTATATATTTAATTGGATTTTTAGCCTTAATATCTTGTATTTCTCTATTTATTATTCGTTTGTTTATTATTGGTATTTTAGCCTTTCCTTTGGTGTATTTGCAATCTATGATATGTTCTCTTTGACTTACGACATAATATTCTTCTTTTTGTCGTTTAAACCAATTTCTCATTGTTGGTATTTCGAATATTTTTTCTACGCTTCGGTCTAATTCTTTTCCTTTTATTTGTTCAAATATGTTATTATCAAATATTATTTTTTGTTCTGCCGTTTCTTCATCTTGATATTTTTCTTTAGTTATTATTTGTATATTTGTTTCAGTAATTGATATAGTATTCATTATCTGATTCTATTACTGAATTATTTTCCATTTCGTTTGTTTCGTTTTCTGATAATTCATATATACTATCTTCACTTTCTAATTCATAATCTACGTACTCTATCTGCGTATATTTTTCATCGTCTATTATTATTTTTGATATTTGGTTTTTCTTTGGATTCTTAGGTAATTTACAATATCTAGATGTATGTCCTAATTTTTCACAATTATAACAAGTACATTCCGTTAGTTTTCTTTTTGGTCTATATGGTCTTTTGGTTTTGTAGTTTTTTACATAGTATCTTCTTCTTGGTTTTTTATATTTATATTTTGATCTATATTTTTTGTTATATCTCTTTTTATAGTATTTGTCCGTACAACCAAATTGGGGTGCCGTTTTATTTTTGCAACATGCTAAGTTTTTTACTAGTATTTTTTCCATTTTTATTTCTTCTTTATGTCTTTCACATAGTTCTATAAACCATCGTTGTAAGAATTTTATTCTAGCTCCTAAGGTATCTGTTAATCCTGCTTCATTCCAGCTTTTTATTACTTTTGAATTAAAAGGTTCTGGTAATTTTGTAAAATATAATTTTCTTATTTCTTTACTTTCGTATATGCTATATGTTCCTTTATAATAGTATTCTCTAAATGCACATGTATATTCATCTACATAACACATGTTACATATTGCTAATTTTGTCATTAGATTTTGGTTTATGATTTTTTCTTTATTTTATTCTTCTATTTCTGTTGTCATACTACTAAATTCGTTTCTTATAGCTATTTCATATTTATATAATATTTCCATAGTTGTAGTAGCTATTTCACCATCAAAATTTTTATTACTTCTTAGAGTTTGTAAACTTTCATCTGATAAAATTTGTAGCCATAATTTTACTGTTCCTATAAGTGTTCTTTCTATATATCCTGGTGTTTCTGTCATTACTATTTTGTTATCTATTAATTGTTTTGATATATATCACATCCATAATTGGATTGTTTTATTTATATCTGCTACACAGTCTAAATCTAAAAAATTATGTTGTTCAGTTATTGATTTAGGCGTCCATTTCTTATTTAATCTTTTATCCCATATAGTTTTTTCTCTATCATATTGTCCATAGTTTTCATTATAATATTTTGGATTTAAATTTTTTGGGTTTTTTACTCCTGATGTGTTAGGTTTTTCATCCATGTCAACGTCTCCTGTATTTACTTCTAAATTCTTTGTATTATCTATATTTGCTAAAAGTTCCGTATATGTTTCGCTTGTTTCTGAATGTTGTCCATCTAGTTCATCATCGTTTATTTCATCAATTCTTATTTCAGGTAGATTATCTTGGTTATTTTCTTCTTTTTCTTCTAGTTCTTCTTCTAATTGCAATTTTTCTTTAAATTTATTTATCTCATTTGCTAATTTCGTTTCTTGTTCTTTTTCTTTTTGTTTCATTTCATACATCTCTTTTAACATTGCCAGCTCTTTTTCTAGTTCTATTATTTTAGTATTTTTTACTTCTTCTAATTGTTGTACTTCTTTTTTTGCTTGTTGTTTTATTTTTTCAATTTTCGTTTTTCTATCTATTTCTTCATTTTCTTTTGTTATTCTTATCATAGCGGTTAAACTATCTTCTAGTTTTACTATTTCTTTCTCTAACATTAAACTTATATTGTCACCTATTTTTTTGTATCTTCTTCCTAGATTAGAAAATATTATCTTTATTTTTAATCCGTCATAGTTTTCATATGTTTTTTCGTCTATGGCATATTCTTCCTTATTCATTTATAGATTGTGTTGAAGTTTATATTCTGAACTTTCTATCTGTATCTGTAGATATAAAATAGTTTTCCTTTGTGCTACTATAGATTTTTTACAAGTTCCTACGAATATATTATTGTTAAGTCTATTTTGTCTATGTGTTAATTCTTGTCTTTTTGCTATAATTATTTCAGTAAGTTTTTGTCTATATTCGTTATTCTCGTTATTCATTGTATTTTTAAATATTGAATATATTTATATTCTATTTTAGATATATTATCTATCAATTGATCTAAATTTTCGTTATAAGTTTTTGTGATATTGAGTTGTTTATAATCCAGATATAATTTGTTTAATTTTCTTCTTATTTTTCTTAACTTTCTACTAGTATGTTTATTCTTATATTTATTTTCATCCATAGCTCTGATACATAAAACTTACTAATTTTAATGTTACCTTTTTTAACCACCAACTAAATTCATTATTAAAACTATCCGCACTAATTACATATTGTAGTTACGAATAGTCCAAAATACCCATTTAGAATCTATTGGAAAGTATTTTATGAAATAAAAAGCTCTAGTACTCAAAACGACAAAAAGGGTTGTTACATTAGATACCAATTTACCCATCAATCGTCCTCAAATGATCAAAAGAAGGTGAGGGTAAGAAAGGGTACCTGAATCGACAAAAAAGGTGTGGATATCTTTCATGCATATCAACCTCACTCTCCCAAGTGGACTCTTTAACTAGGGGATTCTTCCACTGAGCCTCGATAGATGCAATCTCTTTCGACCTCAACTTGCGGACTTTCCTATCTAAAATAGCTACATGCTCTTCCTCATAAGACAGATTCTCATCAAGCAGGACTGAATCCCAACAAATTATATAGTTTCCATCACCATGGTAGTTTTTCAGCATGGACACATGAAATACCGGGACAACCCTGGAGGCAAGGCCAATTCATAGGCCACCTTCCCCACACGCTTAAGAACTTCAAATGGCCAAATATACCTCGGACTAAGCTTACCTCGCTTACCAAACCGCATCACACCCTTCATGTGTGAAACCTTCAGCAAGACTTTCTCACCCTCTATAAACTCTAAGTCCCTGACCTTTCGATTTGCATACTCTTTCTGCCTGTTATGAGCTTGTATGAATTTTACATTCTCTAATGATTCTCTCAAAAATTCGGTACCCCAAGGTCTCACCTCGATTGCATCAAACCAATCAATGGGAGACCTACATCTCCTCCCATATAATGCCTCAAATGGGACCATATCAATACTCGAGTGATAACTGATGTTGTATGTAAACTCAACTAACAAAAAAACTATTCCCAATGAACACCAAAATCTATCACACATGCACGAAGCATATCCTCTAGCACTTGAATTGTTCGCTCAGATTGACCATCGATCTGAGGATGAAATATGGTACTAAGATCCAATCTAGTACCTAATTCAGCATGCAAGGTCCTCCAAAAGTTAGAAGTAAATTGTGTACCTCTATCTGATATGATGGAAATTGAAACTCCATGCAATTGAACAATTTCACGGATATAGAGTTTGGCTAACTTCTCTGCATTGTAAGTCATGTTGACCGGAATAAAGTGAGGAGACTTAGTTAACCTGTCAACAATTACCCATATATAATCTAGCTTACCCAATGTCTTTGGAAGACCAACCACAAAATCCATTGCAATTCTTTCCCACTTCAATTCAGGAATGGGCATTCTCTGAAGTGTCCCTCCAGGCCTCTAATGTTCATATTTTACCTGTTGATAATTCGGACATTGGAAACCAAAATTAACAATGTCACACTTCATTCTACTCCACCAATAATGTTGTCTCACATCACAATACATCTTGGTTGCACCAGGATGTATAGAATACCTCAAATTATGAGCCTCTGCAAGGATAGTATGGGCCAAATCATCAACACGGGGCAAACATACCTGCTCCTTAATTCTCAAGATGCCTTCCTCATCAATCAGAACCTCTTTAGCCTCTCATCGCAATACCATATCTTGAATTCGGCTCAGCTTCTCATCATCAAACTGCTTTCCCTTAATCTTGTCAAGAAAAGAATATCTTGCCTCCACACATGACAAGAATCCTCCTTTCTCAAGTACTTCCAGCCTCATAAAGTCATTAGCCAGAGTTTGAACCTCTCTAGCCAATAGGCGTCTAGAAACCTGTAAGTGGGCTAAACTACCCATGCTCCCTTCTTTTCTACTTAGGGCATCTACCACAACATTAACTTTCACCAGGTGGTATAAAATAGAAATATCATAGTCTTTTAGTAACTTCATCCACCTCCTCTGCCTCAAATTCAAATCTTTCTGAGTGAACACATATTGTAAACTGCGGTGATCTGTATACACTTCACACTTGATCCCATGTAGATAATGTCTCCACTATTTCAATGCAAACACAACTGCAGCCAACTCCAAATCATGGGTCGGATAGTTATGTTCATGCACTTTCAATTGCCTTGAAGCATAGGCAATTACATTCCTCTCATGCATTAGCACTGCACCAAAACCAAAATAAGATGCATCACAATAAACAATGAAATTCTTACCTTCCACAGGAAAAGCAAGAATCGTCGCAGTAGTCAACAAGGTCTTGAGTTTCAGAAAACTCTTTTCACACTCATCCGACCATATAAAGGGAACATTCTACTTGGTCAAGTTAGTCAGTTGGGAAGCAATGGAAGAAAATCCCTTGATGAATCGGCGGTAGTAGCTAGCTAGACCAACGAAGCTCCTTACCTCTGAAACATTAATAGGCCTTACCCAACTCTTCACTCCTTCAATCTTAGTGAGATCCACCATCACTCTATCCTTAGAAACCACGTGCCCCAAGAAGGACACTCAATCGAGCCAAAACTCACACTTTGATAATTTGTCATAAATCCTTTTCTCCCTTAACAACCCCAATACAATTCTCAAATTCTCCTCATGTTCCTTCCTGCTCTTTGATTATATCAGTATATCATCAATAAATACGATAAAGAAGAGGTCCAAATATGGCTTAAAAATTCCGTTCATCAGGCTCATGAAAGCAGCAAGGGCATTCGTAAGCCCAAAAAACATTACTAAGAATTCATAATGCCTATACCTGGTTCGAAAAGCAGTATTTGGCACGTTTGTTGCCCGCATTTTCAATTGATAATAACGGGACCTCAAATCAATTTTCGAGAAGACACAAGCACCATGTAATTGGTCGAACAAGTCATCAATGCAAGGAATGGGATACTTATTCTTTACCTTATTCAACTGCATGTAGTCTATGCACATTCGAAAACTACCATCATTCTTCTTCATAAATAAAACTGGAGCAGCCCAAGGAAATGCACTCGGTCTAATAAAACCTTTACCTAACAACTCCTGAAGTTGGGCCTTTAACTCTCTTAACTCAATTGGGGCCATTCTATAAGGTGGAATGGAAATGGGGCGAGTCCCCGACTCCAGGTCAATACAAAAATCAATGTCTCTATCTGGTGGCATACTGGGCAGGTCTGCAGGAAATACATCCACAAACTCACAGACTATCAAAACAGACTCGATCAAAGGCACTTTGGAAGTATCATCCCTGATATGTGCCAAGATAGCTAAAGTCACCCTCCCACACTAGTGGATCAATCCCAGGCTTGGCCAAGGTCACAGTCTTAGCATTACAATCTAAGATAGCAAAATTTGGAGAAAGCCAAGTCATACCCAAAATTACATCAAAATCAACCATCTCTAGAATAATCAGATATACATAAGTATTGCTCCCCATAAAAGCCACAAGGCAAGACCTATACACCTTCTCAACTATCACAGATAGAGACACAAATAGTCATGTCAAACAAATCACAATGCAAATCAAAACCAGTAGCAAACAAGGAAGATACATAAGAAAATGTGGATCCAGGATCAAACAATACATATGCCATGCGATCACATACCAGAAGAGTAGCTGTGATAAGAGCATCAGATGTCTCTACCTCTGACCTCGCGGGGAAAGCATAACAATGGGCCCTATCACCTGTTTGTCCATTGCCCCTGTCGGGCTGCGCTCTAGTAGTTCCAACTTTCCCGCCACCCTGGCTAAACTGGTGACCACCATTACCTTGGCCACCACGTCCTCCAAAATGACAGCTTCTACCATGACCACCTCTACCTCTAGCTTCTGGGGATTTGTAACTCTGATCCTACTGAGCCTGACTCTGCTTTGGACAATATTTCATGATATGTCCGGCCTCTCCACATCCATAACAAGTCCTGGAGTCGAGTGTCGGTCTCTGTGAAGATGAAGAAGACTGGAGATAACCCCCAAACTCAGAAAAAGGATGACTAATCTACGACGGACCCTCAGCTGAAGCCTGCAATTAAGACTAAATAGGAAAGGGTTGATATCTCCCTAAACTATGCCCTCTAGAGTACGAACTACTAAACTCACCTCCCTTACGAAACTTCTTAAACTTTGACACCTTGGTGAAGTCATCCGGCTTCACCTTCTCTACCTCTATAACAAAATCAACCACTTCCTGAAAAGATTTTGCAGAAGCAGCTACCTGTAAAGTTGGAATCTGCAAAGCTGACCTCAATCCCTTTACAAAGCGGCGAATCTGCTCTTGTGGACTGAAGCAAAGCTGAGTGGCATACTTGGATAATGCACGAAATTTGGCCTCATAAGCTGCAACAAACATCCTTCCTTGCTCTATGTTTAGGAACTCATCTCTCCTCATGTCCTTCAAAGTCCGGGGTATATACTTCTCCATGAAAAAGCTAGAAAATGATGCCTAAGTCATAGGTGGTGCCTTTGCTGGTCGACACTCAACATGAGACCTCCACCACTTATTGGCATCCCCTTGAAACTGGTAGGTAACAAACTCATCACTGAATCACTCCACTATGTTCATCTTATGTAACAGCTCATGACAATCAACCAGGAAATCATAAGCATCTTCAGATTCAGTACCCTTGAAGACTGGAGGTTTTAACTTTAAGAACTTAATAAAGAGGTCATGTTGGTCACTAGTCATTATAGGCCATGTAGTAAATCGGGGAAACGTATTTGTTTCCAAGGACGCATCCATGCAGGGAGCCACAATAGCTGCATGTTGTATTCCTTGAACCTGAGGTGCGGGTGCAGAAAACATTGGTGGTGCCTGGCCTTGATAAGATAATCCGCTAAGATAATTAAGAACCTGATTAATCATTTCTTGAGTAGGTTGGGGTGGTGCTTCCTTCTCCTGAATTTGCTCATCTTCCCCCTCATCACCCTCTCTTGCTACCTCGTCAGCCGGTGGAGGGATCACTGCTCTATCCCTAGTTGGACAAGGTGATTGTTCTCTGCCTCTGGTGGTCCTTCTTCTGCGACCTCTACCATGGCCTCTAACCACTACTCCCCATTGAGGTACTGCCCCAATGGTTGGCTCAGGGGCACCTCATCATGTCGGTGTTGGTGTTGCCACAACTATTGCTCTAGTTCTGAGCATCTGCAAAATAGAGTGACGAAGGTCAGATACCAATTTGTATCACCTAGTTACCAATTGGATTCAAGTAATAGCATGAAGGAAATAAAAATATGGGGTTTTCCTAAAGTTCTATAGCCTCTCGAAGAGAAGTAAAGGCGTCCCCGTACAATTCCACAAGACTCTACGAGATATGTCCTTGTGTGATGAGATCACCGAACCTAAGGCTCTAATACCAAGTTTGTCACGACCCAAAACGAGTCGTGAGTGGCACCCACACTTAACCTCCTAAGTGGGCGAACCAAGGAATCCAAACCCCAACATATATCAATAATTCAACTACGAATAACAACAATAATGCGGAAGCTCAAAACTTATTAAAGTAACCGATCAAATAAACCTCTAAAGTCTATTACATATTATCCCCAAAACCTGAAAGTCATCACATCAAAGACATCTATTCTCAAAATACCAAGTCTAAGAGTATTAAAGACATCAAATAAGTAAAAAAGATTGTCTATGTCCGAAATTTAACGACATTATGCCATGACTGAGAGAATCCATCACGAGCTAGAAGGAGTAGCTCACCCTGAAATTTGATAAGCTGGAGACTGGCAAGAGCTGAGGGTGAGTCGAAGTCGATGGTACACTTGCTGCACTCCACAAAAGAAAACGAAGAAAACACAAGTAAGGGTCAGTACAAGGAACATGTATCGAGTAGGCATCATCAGCCAACCCAAAATTGAAACTAATATGTAATGAATAATAGTATAAAATCAACTACGACACTTAGCACATGGTAAGAAATAAACAACATGAACCAGTGACAACAACACTAAAGTAAGTACGTAATCAGTCAACAATATCAAGAACATACTTGAGGACTCATTCCTCCAAACCAAGCGATTTTGGGAATTGAGTTCTTTGAGATTGAGTACATTACGTTGTTTATATATGTTTTTCTTTAATATTACTGTGCCGGAACGTGACACTCGATACAATAATACCATGTCGAAACGTGACACCCTATCTAATAATACCATGCCGAAACTTGACACCCAATCCAATAATGTCATTAATTTATCACTTTTTATCACCACTTTTCACTTCATTAACAATAGTTCATCAAGCCTTCTTTATTCAAGGCATCACTTCGATAGAGGGGGTTCAAGATTATAAGTTCACGGTCTCAAGATTTCAGACCAATCACAAACCACACAATCAAGTACATAGAGAACTTCACAGTATCACTCAATGTGTGTCAATCACTATTAAGAGTCTATCTATTAAATAGAATAAACCATAACCTACCTCTACCGAAGAAGGGAATTCAAGCAAACTACTTCTCCAATGATTTTCCTTTCCTCAATGCCTCCGAACCTTTCCAATCTATCAAGTATGCGTAATTTGTAAGTTAACGAGTCTATAGACACTCATATTACTTTATGTATAGCCTAGACCCAAAAATCATCAAACACTCCTAATCTTGAGGTCAATTAATACGCCAGGTCTCCTATTTCTTATATTCAAGCCTAAAGTTAAGTCTTTATTTCTTTGAATAACATAACCTTAATAGTATTCAAATAATATACTACACTCAATATTTAATTACCTACCGTAATATATTAAACTTAATTTATAATATTATAACCTTCAGAATAATAAGGACGGAATCCACATCATACAATGAGCCATGACTTTGTTGTACAGACTACAGATTAATGGTTGCCAGCTTCATATCATACCTTACAACAACATACAGTACCTCCAATCTTTCCAATTGTTTCACTGCCCCTGACCACTCATTACCCATTAAGTTTCAAATTATTTTCTTTCTCATTTATTTTATCCAAAAATTCAACTTACACTGCATACTCGTTCTTTCCAATGTCTCATCTAATTACAATAATATAATGATAATCATACATTATCGCCTAACATTCACTAAAATTAGACAAACAACATAATTGAATAGATAAGACAAAGGGATAATTAATGCATTCCAAGGATTTCCACCCAATTAATATAAACCCATTACATATTACTTAAAGAAATCAAAGAGTTGAAGCATTACCTGGATGGCAGTCGCTTCTGGTTGACGCCGCAGGTAGTGTTTCTCTCGTTAGTCTTTTTAAGTATCTAGGGTAACTAATTAAGAAATAATAAATATTAAAACTTACTAATTTTAATATTATCTTTTTTAACCATCAACTAAATTAATTATTAAAACTACTCCACTAATTCTATATTGTAGTTACGAATAGTCCAAAATACCCATTTAGAATCTATCGAAAAGTATTTTATAAAATAAAAAGCTCTAGTACTCAAAACGACCAAAAGGATCGTTACAGCGTGGATCTTAAAAACTTCAAAACTATAACTAAAGAAGAAAATTTTTCTCTAAAGAAACAGGGTGATAAACTTGAGTCATCAAACTTGAATTAGAAATCTGAAATTCTTAAGCTGTCCATTATTGAAAACAGTAAGATAAATGATACTGAGAACATATTAGAACATAATATGAAAGAATGCAAAATTGATTTTTTTTGCAAAAAAGATAAGGCAAAAAAAAACTAAATCTAGAAGTGTCTAGGATGAAAATGGACCTTGCAAGAGCTAATAGATGGACTAATTCCTCCGGAATTTGCAACAAATTAAGTGATAGGGTGCACAATGAGAAGGCTGGTATAGAATGCCATAAAGGAAATATTATCTCTAAAGATTTGTGCTATATTTGTGGTAAAATTGGTCATCCAACTACTGAATGTCCAGGTGCTAATGATTTTTGAAAAATAAATACTAAATTGGCAAATGGAAATAGAATTATACATGTTGACAGAAACAGGTCCACTAACATGTTGCCTAGATAGGCGAGAAGAAATTTGATTCACCCTTTTGATCATAAGAATGGACTCAAGCTTGTCTGGTTTTCTATGACTTACCCTTCAGCTATTTTACAGGTGAAGCTGAAAGGAAGCAAGTGATTTAATTCATAGATATTGATTGCTTAAGGGATATGAATGAAGACAAACAAAAGTTTATTTCGCTCACTTCACAAAAATGGGGAATATGTCATTTAAAAGAAAAAATTGGAATGTAGTGCATGTGTAAGGGGGAAGCAAGTGAGATTATCTTTTCAAAAAAGAGGGTGAGGATGAAAGTGAAACTGATGAGCGTGCATTGAAACATGTTGTACCACTTGATCCAACTGTTGAACAGACTAAGGTACATTAATAGGGGGAACAATGAATCTTGAAACTGATTCATCCACAAAAGTATGTGGTTGTTGGATCACGTTGTTCTTAATTTCTATGAATCAGACAACAATTGATGGATTCTGACACTAAGTAGGAAGCATTTTGAAAAGAATAGTTTAGACTTGGGGATGATTAAGATTGCATGAACTCCCCTCAATGATTGGATAGAATAATTGTTCTCCTTAATTTTATGACCTAAAATGTTATTCAATTCAGTCTTACACATTTAGTTGTGTATCCCAATTCCAGATCCTTGACTTGTTTTAACCTAATTTTGTACTAGATTGTGTAGAGAAATGGTGCAATCAAGCAATGACGATCATAAAATTGCTCTTATCATGTATGCTCTATATTGATAGAGGTTAATATTGTCTAAAGTGAAACAGTTGAGCATGCATGTTTTATGTATTAATTGTTCTAATACAAAATAAAATAATCGGCAAAACTAAAGAGTCTTATTCTTTCAAATTGTTCTCTCCCCCTTAGCTTTCTTGAATTTTTTTCTGCAAGTTTAAATCAGATATTCACCAAAATACATCTACTGATATTTCTGATGTTGTCCTCTTCAATTTGCTCTTAACTTAGTACATATATAATTGGGATAAGGCATAAATACCCCCCCCCCCACCCTCCCAGACTATAACCGAAATTTCAGGGACACGCCTAAACTTAACTAAGATTCAATCACCCAAATTTGTTGTGTTTGTACACACTCGTCTGCCATGTGTGTAAATATTATTTTTTAATTAAAAAATATTTTTTAAAATAAAAAAAATTCTTAATATTTTTTTTTGAAAAAAAATATTCTTATTTTTTTAACCTTGTATTTAAATTAAGTTAATACATATTTTTTTACCTTATATAGAAACGAGTTTTTTTTACTTACATTCATTGTTTTTCTCTTTTATTTTTCTATTGAGTTTATTTTCTTTGTCTTTCATTTTGATTTCAAATGTCTTGTATTTAAAATAAGTTAATTTTGAACGAATATCAAAATAAGTGAAGAAAATAAAA